ATTTCAAGGTCACCCAGACATGCATGACCTCATAATGTGGTGCTCAAAAGCCAGGAGAATATGATCATCAAGTTATTCGTGTATGGCGTACGTCAGTCCGATTCCTGGCACCAATGGACTCCAAATGACTCTTGAACAATGTATTGCGTGCGGTGCAATTTTCGAACACGAATCATGTTTTGTGCTGCATAATACAGGAAGTTGGACAATGGTACGAGTTATCTTAGTTTATCCTAGTGGTCCTAGTTTAAAGCAGATGGCATTGTGATCAGCACTAGAGACTCCTCTGTGCCCAGCTAGCACTACGATTTATCATACCTTTGTGAATGGGCTGAAAAGGAAATGCGCACGAAAGAATAGGCATATAAGATCTTATGTAGCCTCCGCCCAGGGACAGTTTGTGTAGGAGAAACAAAAGTAGCATCCGTGAGCGGGTTCAATGAATACCACGGGGACACACTTACCGAGAGCGCACACACCGTTAGACACATGGTAGACACCGGAGAGCACATTGTAAACCCACAGCAATGGAGCATGGTGCAATGCATACCAACTTAAGAAAAAGTTTCGACAGCGAAAGCTAACGAGGACGTCAAGGTTTAAGAATCGCTGCGCATTCGCGATCTACGTAAGAGGCTGAACGTACAACCGTCCTTATAGAATATGGTTTGAGCAACATTGTATAGATTACGCAGGATTAGAAAAAAACTATATTGTGATCAACTAGAGATATCTAAAAATATCCACAGAAATATCTCAAGCAATGTTTCGCTGTGATGGACACCGATGCCACTTGGGAAACTTTTTCCATCCTGATGCTCGGCGCGGATCATCAAAACCATTCAGCTTAGCTGTTTGTGTTTCGAGCAGCTCTAAGCATCACACCGTGTATTGGGTGTTGGGACGTGAAAAGGTGAATATCCTCAACATTTAAGTGGTTCGTGAAATATTTTTGGCGCTTGATATTGGCGATAAATAATTTTGTTAACTAATTCTCGGCATGGGTGTTCGTAATCTTCTAGCTCACCCGCCTGCCTTTTGTGCAGCCCCTACTGTTCAACTGTGTATCGGGAGTTAGGATGAAGGAACTCAGATTTTTTTTTATTTTGACATTTTTTAGTGATAGCGTCGGCACAGATTCGGGTAATTACTCTTCATTCACGTGTCTTGGTTCCTAACACGTAATTTGGTCGCTTAACCTTGTTCGTTCGTGATCATAACCACAGCCTGAAACGTCGAGTATTGACCACGCGAGCAATGCTAGCTCAATAACACCGTTTAACCAGTTTCTTCCGTTTTACTGAAGGACGGTGACTGTCAACATCGAAACTATGCGCCCAATACCCTCTTTCCATTGATGCAAAGTGTATTTTCTGCGACATCAGGCGTCATAACTCCTGTGACGGCTGCCAACGCAATGACTCTTGTGTAAGGTTCACCAGAGGTGCTGATAAATCTTCGATTTATCCTGACCTGCCACGGGGATCCTGAGATGCCAGAGGTGGTTATTTCGTCTCCCCCCTAGCGATCGCGTACGGCCTCTCCAGTCTGTGCGGGGTTAAGAAGGGCTTCTTCCCAAACGCGCGTGTTTTCCAGACTAGCGGCAGGAGCTTTTAGCCGAGACAACCTGCCCTGAGCGAAGCACCTACCAATGACGCGTTCTGTTGTATTCACGCAGGGAAAACGGCTTACCGGCAGCTGGTGCGGTTCGCTCAGCGGCGACGGCCGGCGTCGCCAGTAGGATCGCCAGCTTCGGCCGGTGAGGCCGCCGTCGGCCCACCAGTCCTGGAACTGGTCAGGCTTGGCGGCCACGCTCTCTCGTCTGCGCCGGGCAGCCAGCCGGCTTATAGTGCATCACTGACGTGACAGGCCAAACGGTCGCTTCGATCCAGATCTGGCCGCAAACAAGCTGGGCCGCACAAAAGCTGGACCCGGTGTCGCAGGGACGTAATCACAGCCTGCAGGAAGTGAGCCTTGAAGTTTTGGTAGCACGCCATTCCACAAAATGGTCCGAAAATACAGATCAAGGCGCCGTGGAATCGACATAGCACAGACGAGACACTGTTTGTGCGAAATGGACTGCTGGCGACGAACTCGGTCGTTTACATCGGGTGAAGCGCACCAGATCGATTTCTCATAATGTTGGTCACTCCTCAGCCAGGAGTGATGGGAAAGAGAGGGACAAAAACAGCTCAAATATCTGGAAGAATTGCAACATTAAAACTAGTTATAACAGGAAGCGGAACAGCAAGACACCTTCATCCCTTGCTTGACCAATCCCTTGTTTAGAGAAAGCAATATATCGGTGATTAATTAGAGTGAAATAACTCTCAGTTGTCCAGACATGCGCATGGGTGCAGTCCCAGCTGGCGAGGACGTCGTGCTGAGTTGCTGTGGGAGAGTCTAGCTGGGTTTGCTTCTGCGCGACACTGTCCGCTCCTGCAGCCCATTGCCAGTGGTCTGAGGGGCGGTGCGGAGCCTAGGGGCTTAGCCATTACCGTGAGGGGTACCCCAGGGCCTTGGAGCCGAGCCATTACCCTGAGGGGTAACCCGGGGTCTAGGGGCGTAGGCAGTGCCCCTAGGGGTCAGTCCATGGTCTCGGGGCGTAGTCAGTACTCCTGAGGGGCAGCCCAGGGTCCACGGGTGTAGCCAATACCCCAAGGGGTGGCCCAGGGCCTAGAGACCTAGACGTTACCTTGGGGGGGTAGTCAGGGTACTAAGGACGCAGACAGTGCCCCGGGATGTAGTCCGGGATCTAGCGTCTAGCGATTACCGGGAGGTAGCCCGGGGCCTAGGTGTGTAGCAGGGTACTGAGACGTAGCCCGAAGGTTAAGCGTGTGGTCAGTGCCCCGAGGACTAGTCCGAGGTATAGGGGAGTGTCATGAGGGGTAGTCCGGGATCAATGCGCCTGTCAAATATTTTAAGGCCGCGCGTTCGTTTAACATGTCGCGAGCGTCAGCGATGAAAATTACGCTAAAATTTCGCGGATGAGACATGTCAGTGATATGATCGCGTTCGCAGATGTCACCAGCTGTCGCAGATAGCTCTTGTCCACAAAGTGCACGTTCGAAAAAACAATTCATTATGATAGATAGGTAGAATGTGAGCTAAATATTCTAAGGCCTCAATCCGACTGCGACAGTTCTCCTACCAGCCAGCCTGAAAACGTTTCTGATTTTTTTCATGAGCACGAGCTGTTTAACACTGGGTTTCTCGCGCATCGCCATAGCACATCCTCCGGTAATCGAAGCTGGGTGCACAGCTAACAGAGGATATTATGATGAACAAACTGAGCAAACAATACATCATATGTACAAGCTAATCCTGCGTATGTGACACAGGCTTTGCAGTTGGTTGCCGTTTCCACGTAGATCAGACGTGAGGTGGCGCCTACTCTTATTAGCTGGCCGCAAGTCCGGCGTTACGTAACGGCAGACCCTTCGTTGATAGCAGCACAAGCGGCCACAGAGGTAGCTACGAACTGTCGGCAGCACCGCCTTAACACGGCCTTACATTTCGACCCCCCACTACAGCACATGCTACAATCACGGCTGTGCCACATCATTTTCCTACGGTGCTACTGGATCAGGGCAAACCTCTTCCATACATGTCTGCATTGGTAACTCAACAGGCGTCGTACAGCTCGTGTGCTGACCGCATGGATATGCATCCATTATCCATCAACACTCTTAGCACTCGATATTTACATGGTGCTGCAGCATACTGCTGGGATTCGTCATACCCAGGACGCCCGAGTTCGTCCATGGCCGCAGTGCTCCACCTCGTCCCCCGTCCAGTTTCCATGCCGACTGTTCTTTTCACGGTGACTGCTGTAGCTGGTGCACTGACTGTCCCGAACCGACGTCGGGGAGTTGGGCCGAATTCATCCTTGAGCTGTCGCTGCTAACTCCCGAGAATCGCGGCAGTCGCCGTGGCATACAGGCTTGGAGCTACGCGCGCACTCTCCTATGCCCAGTAGTCCCAAGGACAGAGATGGAACATTCCTGTATGACCATAAAAACATGAACGGAGTGCCATTATGAATATTTTTAGGTTAGTTACTTGTGACGCATCGAGACGTACCGCTTCACGCTCTAAAGTGAATTTTATTTTTTGTATGATCGGCGTGGCATACCAAAGCGTGTCCGCTTGCTCCCGTTCTGTGTGAACCGTCTCGGATCACACGTTGAATTTTTCGTAAATACACAACTTCACTTCACTGAACTACGATGCATCGCATTCCGGCATCTGGTTGACCCACAGCAGCATGGGTTTCCACCGGGCGCAGACGGCAGGCAGCGCCTCTGGCGGCAAATGACCAAATCAGCAGTACCGAACAGACGGTGCCGGCGCCCGGGCGACGTGCGTTCGTGCTGGCGGCGGCACCAGCGCTACGCCGACCCCAGCGGCTCGGGCCAGCTGCCGCGTGACCAGACACGCTTGCATCAACAGCTGCCGGCGGCACCGCGTCAGACGACAGCCCAAAGCTGGGCGGACGGGGTGTGACGCTCTTACCGAACAGTCCAAGACCATCGCGAGCTGTCCTGCGCGCCGCCACCAGCAACTGCCCACGTGGGGTAAGGACGGTGGCAGCTAGGTGCCAAATACGCAGCAACAGCCGACCCTGTCCTCGCATGTGCACGACAGGAGGTGTATTACCACATTCAGGCAGTGTCAAACGGTACTGATGCATGGAGCAAGAGTACGAATTGATTTGTTGCAAATCAATCATGATTGTTCACTTAGCACGCACACAAAGTTCGCGTTAGCACGTCGTTCCAAATATATTTTAGCGGACCATCAGCTGCGAATATATGACTGAGTAAAAAAGAAATCAGTCTTCCTTTACACATCTCACAGCGCTAGACAATTACAATAGTCCAGTAATCGCGTCACGCCTTCACGAGTTCTGTAAAATAAACACAATAATCGCTATTCCTTGTCTAACTGGGCCAGGGACGGCGGGGGAAGAAGGGGGATGGGAGGGGGGGGGGGGGCGGGAGGGAATGGGGACGGGAACGGGGATGGGAAGGGGACCGGGCTGCGGCTGCCGCTGGACCAGGCGCACGCGCGCGCGCGCGGGGAGCGCAGTTGTGCAGTCTTCTGCGCCGCCCGGGCAGCCGGAAGACACGGCCGCGCACGGCTACCTCGCAAGACGGGCGACGGCGCAACAAACACATTTCACCTCCTTTGGCTTATCGAACGCAGAGCCGGATTGTCCTACCACAGGCAAGGTGAAATTCCTTTAAAAACCGAACACACCGCCCTGCAAGCAGATATCGGCAGGGCGGCCGAGACGCCAACGGAGCGCCCGTCGGACGTCACAGGAGCGGCTGACGAACCCCGCCGAGACGGGCCACCGCCGCCCAAACAAAATCAAACGGGGCCGGCCGAACGGCCACCCTCTGCCGGGACACTATATCACAGAATAACGACAATACTCGACAGACGCCGACTGAACTAACAAAACCGCCGCGCGCCGCTCCGTTAGAAAGACATGAGGCCGCCGCCGCGGCGCGGGAGGACAGGAGAGGAGGAGCCGGGGGCCGGGGCCGAGAGCGTCAGCAGATATCACAGAGAGCCGGACGGGCGGCCGGCCATCAGGACTTGGGCGGCCGGGGCGCGGCGAACGGCGGCGGCCCGGCGGCGGCCGCCGCCGCGGCGCGCTCCTTGCCCGCCAGCGGCACGTTGGCGTAGATCTGGCGCGGGAAGTCGGTCAGCTCCGGCGACCTACGGGCGGTGCCGCACGCCGTTAGCGCCCAGCCCGGCCGCGGGCCCGCGACGATACGGCGCGCCCACACAACGCCCGAACACGAAGAGAACACTTAGCGCGCGTCAGCGACTCGCCCGGCTCCGAACACAGTCCCTAACACAGATCCTTCCACACGCATGACGCCTGACCCATCACAACAGCGGACCGTGGAGACTCTGGGCAGGGATTATGTAGTGGTCGGTCGTGCGCCGCCACAGCGGCGGCCGGTCCGTACCTGGTCAGCTGGTTTTCGGAGACGGCACGGCTGGCCATATGCCGCTCGGGCGCCGCCGAGAGCGGCACGCTCGGCACAGGTGACGGACTGGTCGGCAGCGACATGGTGGAGCGCGACAACGCCTTGGCCTCCTTCGAGTCAGTCGGCGCGCCTGCCGACTCCGTCGAGTACCGGATGTTGGTGTACTCGCGGCCCATCTTCTGGCTCACCTGGGGGAGGGAGGGGTCAGGTCAAGTTCGGTCAGCCGGACAGGCAACCAGAGTCAAGCTGCATGTCGGGCAGGGGTCAGACCAAGCCAGCTGGCTAGAGGCGGCCCGGGGCAGGCTACACCAGCAGCACAGAGGTGGGCCAGTCAGTCAGGTCATCCTCCGTCCCAACATACCGGGGTAACGAACTTCCCACATGCACTACACTCCCATGGCAATATGGGTAACGTATTCCCACATGCTCGGCAGTATGCCGTGTCACCACTATTTATGAGTGTGGCTCTGGAGCACGACCGCACAGAACGCCAGCAGCCGCGGGTTGAGCAGCTGACGACACAATATGTCGGCCGCGACCAAAATAATTTGTCACCACATCCGCAGAGAAAAAAAATCAAAGGGGAGCCACGCCACCGTGACCGACGTACACAAGCCCACCTATTACGACTGTGTCACGGTGACCAAGCTGAGGCAAACACATGGTGCCATAGTGGCAATCGGGTCAGAAGACACGTGAAGAGCGGGCGCCCAGCGTCTCTGTTCCGGCCCCGGCCCAGGTTCCGGTCGCAGTACCGGTCACGTCCTCGTCCCCATCCCGGTCCCAGTCCCAGTCCCAGTCCCAGTCCCAGTCCCAGTCCCAGTCCCGTCCCGTCCCGTCCCGTCCCGTCCCGTCCCGTCCGGCTCACCTGTTCCGCCTGAAGCTTCAGCTGCAGCGTCTCAATATAATGCTGCACGGCCAGGTAGACGAACTTGTACTGGGCCTCGGTCTGCACCATTCCCGAGCGCTGGGAGCGCACCTGCTGGATGGTCCTCTGGATGTCGATCTCCGTGTCCAGGCCTGCCGACATCACGCCACACAAACGTCGCTCAAATACTGCCACCCCATTGGACATGCGTCGTTCAAGGTCAAGGTGGATACAATCGTCAGGTCGTTCACGTCCAGCGTTCGTGCGCACGGTACCCATACATAACGGACTTCAATTGGCTCTCGATCTATGCCGTGCAGGCCGCGCAAAATCCAAACACAAGTCACGTTTTGTGCCACCTAGCACAATAAGTTGCAGATGGGCCACCCTACCCTAGCATGCAGATGCCAGGGTGGCAATTTTGCACGGCCAGTTTGGCAGCACCTCTAACGTCATACAAGCGTTCTATGACGCAATCAAACAATGCCGTGGTAAGGGGCACAATTACTGGATAAATACTGTGCTGTCCAGAGCAGTCTTTTCCACTTAGACGGAAATCGCGAGTTTTAAATGAGCTTACTTCATCATATCTGCCGCTTGCTTCAGCATCTTCAAATGCGGAACATTCCCCTCGAGATGTGCATGACTTGTAACACGACTGACACTGGCAAACGTACCGCTGCCCGCCCACTCGCGAGAACGCAGTTCTGCAATCTCGAATAACTGACTACTGCCTGCAACGCTGCCATCTCCCGGCTGTATTCCACGCACGCCGACGCCGCCTCGTACGTCACATCCGCCCCACAAAGCCCTCGAGTCGGCCGGTCCGGGGCTCCGCTCGCAGCGCCGCCGCTGCCGCGCGGCCGGCGCCGCAGCAGCGCGCCCACCTTGCCGGTCGATCTGGCTGAGGATCATGTCGATCACGATGAAGGTGCCGGTGCGACCGATGCCGGCCGAGCAGTGCACGACGATGGGGCCGGCGCCGGCGATGCCCTCCTGCTGCGAGTTCACGTCGTGCAGGAAGTTGAGCACGCAGCCCGGGTCGGACGGCACGCCGTGGTCGGGCCACGCCTGCCGCCAGCGAACGCGTCAGAGGAGCGGCCGTCGGCACCGCCTCCGCTAAGAGGGCCGTGTCCGCCGCAGGAGACGAAGAGTAGCGTTTCGTATCGCCAGTGCGGGCGGCGGCCGGGGCGCGGCGGCCAGAGCGGTCCCGCTCGCCAGTCAGCCCACAGAGCCTACAGGGGTGACAGCTGATGGACGCCGCACAAGCGGGCGCAGTTCAACGCTCGCTCCGGCCAACAGCCGGCCCCACGCACTGGACAATGTGACCAGACTGACGCCTCTCCGGCTGGCCCTGCACTGCAGTGTGACGGCCCTTGTCACGCAGCACGCCGTCTCCCCGCGGCGACCGTCCAACAAGAGGGCTACGGATGACGTAAAGACGTCACGGGACGGGTGAGGCTCATGTAAAAACGTGTATGCCGCCATCATATGGACTAAAAAATCCTTTCATAAAAGCATACTCAATGCGTCATTAACTCCCGTAGACACGAAAGTGCGGTCCACGCACGTACGACGGAGGCGTTCTGTGATCTCGATATGAGTGCCGCGTTCGCGTCCAGCTCTCCAGAAGACACCCCGCCATACTCACGGTGAAGTGGTAATGATAGATTTTTCGCTCCTCGTTGGCCCCCTTCTTTTTGACGGAGAAGGCGCGCAGTGTGTAGTCGACGTTGGTGGACTCGGACAGGTTGGTCACCGTCACGCTGCCGTACGTCTTCTCCTCGTCCTCCTCGGGCCAGTACCGCGCGCACTTGCCCTGCGGCCAGACACCAGGCGTCACCCTCAGACACACCAGGCGCCGGAACAGCGTCCAGCACCACGACAGCAGCCGAAACCGTCACACCAGGCGTCACCCTCAAACACATTCGGCGCCGGAACAGCGTCCAGCACTACGGCAGCAACCGACGCCGTCAGACCAGGTGTCCCCGCCAGACACGCCCGGCACCGGATCAGGGTCTGGCACTACGGCAGCAGCCGACGCCGTCAGACCAAGCGCCACCGCCAGACACGCCCGGCACCGGATCAGGGTCTGGTACTACGGCGGCAGCCGATGCCGTCATACTACCCAAGCCAGGACAGATCAGGCGGGTGCTAGGCCGATCAGCGGCAGGGCGTGGTCCAAACGGACAACTTACAGGTTGGTCAGTCATAATATCAAACAGTCATAATATCTCGAAATGGCTTCCAGCTCTGAGATACCCTGCATTCTGACAGGTCGTTACTATTTGCTACGGATCGATACGGAGCTTTGGCGCAACTTGAGCCGCGTTCGTGGTACAATTGTGCAGAGCTTACGACACGTAAAAGCTATGATGGTGCCGCTCATTTGAGCTGTTTATACACCTTCCAAGAACCGTCTCAAAGTAATTGTTAACGGGAATCTTGAGACCAGTCTCCAGCGCTCTTTACATTGGTTGGCGCACGTACTCAATGAAATGAGAGGACGAGAAGTGACAAGCGGGAGTATTCTACATTGCCGACTCCCGCTAGCGCGAATACCGCAGGCAGCGCCGGAGATCCGGCCCAGCGTCTACACCGGAGGCGCCCCCCCCTCTCTCTCTCTCTCTCTCCTCTCTCTCTCTCTCTCTCTCTCCTCCCTCCCCGCCTCCCTTCCCTCTCCCTCTCCCTCCTCTCCCCCCTCTCCTCTCCCTCTCTCCCTTTCTCTCCCCTTCCCCTCTCCCTCCCCTTCCCTCTTCTCCCCTCCCTCCCCTCTCCCCTCCCCCCTCTCTCCCTTCCCCTCTCCTCCCTCCCTTCCCTCCCCCCCTCTCCCTCTCCTCTCCCCTCCTTCCCCTCTCCCCCTCTCCTCTCTCCCTCTCCCTTACCCTCTCCTCTCCACTCCCCTCTCCCTCTCACTCTCCCTCTCCCTCTCTTCTCTCTCTCTCTCTCCCATTCTATCTCTCTCCCTCTCTCTCTCTCTCTCTCTGTCCTCTCTTCTCTCTCTCTCTCTTCATAGCCTCTCTCTCTATCTCTCTTCTCTCTCTCTCTCTCTCTCTCTCTCTCTCTCTCTCTATCTCTCTCTCTCTCTCTCTCTCTCTCTCTCTCTCTCTCTCTCTCTCTCTCTCTCTCTCTCTCGCCACTCACCCTGCTGCGCTCGATCTCCTTGGTGGTCATGACGATGACGCGCGAGTTCTCCTGCCAGATCATCCACCAGAGGTCCGCCACGGTGGTGGGCAGACAGCCCTGGGTGGCGATGTACGTCTTGGTGGGGCCCTCGCCCGCCAGCGTGTCCTCCTCCGGCTGGCGGCGACACCATGAGCGCCCGGTGAGTGGTCGGCGGCCAAAGGGGTCGACCCGGCCGTGCCCACCAGCGGCCACGGCCGGCCCGAGCGCACCACCCGCACAAGACAAACAGCCCCGGCACAAAGCAGGGTCCGATGAGCTCCGTCCCCAGCGGCGGGAGACGGCCCGCCACGGGTGGCCACGGGCGGATAAGCGCGATAAAATGCATCTGAATTAAAACAGGCGCTGGCGAGGCACTCCTAGCAACGAGCCCGCAGGCCGGCCTCGACAGCTAGCAGATCGCGGCGCTGATCCAGTCGGCATTTTGCAGCACGAAGGCCGGCACATAACCATCACACGCACGAGCACCACCTAAGGTGTGCAGTCAGGAAACTAGATCTCTGCCCAGTGTTGAAAGGCAAAGGTCTGTAGTTTGTGACATGACAACAACCGCAACGCGACTACGCGATACTCCAGTCATCCAACCGAGCCCGGCAAGCAGAAGGGATATGCGGCCTAGGTCAGATAATGCCTCTGGAACATGGCATGACGTGCGAGGCTGATGCGGCCAGAGGTTTACAAGTCAAGACACTGCCGGGAGCACTGAACCTGAAAGAAACAAACATGTGTGGAGGGCGGCGGACAACCTGAAAACCTCAGCACGCAAACGAGCGTGCGTCAGTGGCGCTCGTGACAGCACACCGCCCACGCTCGAAATGATGAGATCCCGCGGCGTTTCCGGATCAGCCACCGACGATCCGCTCAGAAGACATCCGGCCGAGATGACGACAGGCACAACACGAGAGACATCACGCCGGTTGGTCGGGACAGCGCCGACCGTTCCGCAGCCACAGTTCCACAGCCCGCCGTCCTGCGGCTGATCACTCCACTCACCGTGATGTAGTTTGCGTTGATGTAATCGGCGCCCGGTCCCAGCCCGTCCCGGTCCCGCAGGATGACGCGCGTGTGGTCAAACGGCAAGATGTTCTTATATCGGTTCTTGTTGCGGCTCTCCGGCCGCTGGCCCTCCTTGCGCGAGTACAGGTGCTTGCACTCCTGCTGCTGCAGCGACTCGAACTCCTCCCAGAAGCCGGCGTTGTTGCCGTTGGTCGGTCCGTGCTCCTTCTGCGGACAGCGGTGGCCGAGGGTCAACGGGCGGCGTCTGTGCGGCTCGTCACACAGCGGTGGCCGAGGGTCAACGGGCGGCGTCCGGCGCGGTTCGTCACACAGCGGTGGCCAAGGGTCACCGGGCGGCGTCCGGTGCGGCTCGTCGCACAGCGGTGGCCGAGGGTCACCGACCAGCGTCCGGTGCGGCTCGTCACACAGCGGTGGCCGAGGGTCACCGGGCGGCGTCCGGCGCGGTTCGTCACACAGCGGTGGCCGAGGGTCAACGGGCGGCGTCCGGTGCGGCTCGTCACACAGCGGTGGCCGAGGGTCACCGGGCGGCGTCCGGTGCGGCTCGTCACACAGCGGTGGCCGAGGGTCACCGACCAGCGTCCGGCGCGGCTCGTCACACGGCGATGGCCGAGGGTCACCGACCAGCGTCCGGTGCGGCTCGTCACACAGCGGTGGCCGAGGGTCACCGGGCGGCGTCCCGTGCGGCTCGCCACACAGCGGTGGCCGAGAGTCACCGACCAGCGTCCGGCACGGCTCGTCACACAGCGGTGGCCAAGGGTCACCGGGCGGCGTCCGGTGCGGCTCGTCACACAGCGGTGGCCGAGGGTCACCGGGCGGCGTCCGGTGCGGCTCGTCACACAGCGGTGGCCGGGGGTCACCGGGCGGTGTTCAGTGCGGCTCGTCACACAGCGGTGGCCGAGGGTCACCGGGCGGCGTCCGGTGCGGCTCGTCGCACAGCGGTGACCGAGGGTCAACGGGCGGCGTCCGGTGCGGCTCGTCACACAGCGGTGGCCGAGGATCACCAGGCGGCGTCCGGTGCGGCTCGTCACACAGCGGTGGCCGAGGGTCACCGGGCGGCGTCCGGTGCGGCTCGTCACACAGCGGTGGCCGAGGGTCACCGACCAGCGTCCGGTGCGGCTCGTCACACAGCGGTGGCCGAGGGTCAACGGGCGGCGTCCGGTGCGGCTCGTCACACAGCGGTGGCCGAGGGTCAACGGGCGGCGTCCGGTGCGGCTCGTCGCACAGCGGTGACCGAGGGTCAACGGGCGGCGTCCGGTGCGGCTCGTCACACAGCGGTGGCCGAGGGTCACCGGGCGGCGTCCGGCGCGGCTCGTCACACAACGGTGGCCGAGTCACCGGGCGGCGTCCGGCGCGGCCCGTCACGCCCCTCGACAGGGGACGGCCGAGACACGGATCGAGGACGACAGATGAACGCGACGTGCCCCGGCGACGGGGGACTGATGCGAGCCGTCGCCAGCGGCCGTGGAAGAATGCGGGACCCCGCCAGCGCCGTGAGACGAACACGTCAGAGCACCGTGACAGGAGACGAATGCGGGGCGCGATGCCATGAATGCCAGTGGGCGTCACACTGTAACAAATGCGCCCCGCCAGCCCTGGCCGATGTCAGGCGACAGCGCTGACGGGAGATGACCTTGACCTGTAGCTCCCTGACGCGGTTGTCGATGCCGCTGGCGTTGATGCGCGTGGCGTTGAAGGGCATTTTCAGGTGCACCACGGTGCCGGTCGTCTCCACCATCGGGTTCCGCTTGTAGTTGTCCACCAGTTCGGCCAGGCTGTCGAAGCGCGTGCCGCCGCCCACGTCGTACTTGCCGTCCTAGGGGGGCGTCACACGCGTCAGCGCACGCCGCTGGCGGGCGGCTGCAGCCTCACTGGCACCACGCGCCGCCCGACGCACTCCGCAGTCGGCGCTGCACCACGCACCAGCGATTGCCATCGAAGGCTCGTCATTACACTCCGTCTGAAGACAACCACACAGAAGACAGGCTATCCACTTTTGGCAGCGCAACGCTCCACATTTTGTGAGGTTTCCTGCGTGTCTCCGGACACGGGGGGCTGCGCCAGAATACGATGGATGGGTTGATACACGGACGCGTCAGAGCACGCTCGAGTCGGTCTCCTCGCAAAACTCAACCAGCTCCAATACCGTGTTTACCTGCGTTGCGTTAAAAGCGAGGCAGCACCGTCAAAGCCCTACCCCACCTGGGTCTTGTCTCTCACCTGACAGCGTATCATGACGTGCGTGATCCGATCATCAGTTCTCACGGACAGGACGTAGTCGCCAGGCTTGCTCAGCGACTCCCGCACCAGGAAGCTGCCGTTCTTGCCCTTCTCCAGCATCAACTTCTCGGCCTCGCGTCCCGGTAGGTGGCCATGGAACCACCTGGCGGCCGGCGGGGAAGGCGACGTTACACGGCAGTGCCGCCAGAGGGAGCGGCGCACGGCACGCCGGCAGACACGCAGCCTCCCGGCACGGGACCGGCGCTGGCCGCCCGCGCCGCCGTCTGGCGGCCTGCAGACCGACGCGGGCAGCGGACTGGAGAGGGCGCGGGCCGCCGTCCAGCGCGGTGGCGGGGAGGAGGCGAGCTGCTGTCAGTCCCGCCGGTAACTGGCCCCAATGGCGGGGAGCGGAGGCGCCGGGCGACGAACCACGACGACGACGTCGGCGCCCTACTGTCGTGCCCACACATCTGAGCCCGCAAGGAATGCTGCCCGCCGGCCCCGCCGGCTGCCGAGCCCGCACCGAAACCCCGACGGCGAACAGTCGGCACTGTCTTTATTACCTACTTCGGCGCCGTCAAGGTGCCATTAAATTGACAGCGTGACCTTTTGGGACGGCTTAGCGGGTCCCGAAGGAACGGCTGGCCCCAATACTGCCACCGCCGCATCAACAAAGCCCAACTCCTCCGAGAACATGGTGTGCTCAACGTTAAAAGGCATGCCACTCTTAGTGGTGCAAGCGTGGTGTGGAGCTAATACATGTCCTGCAAAGTCCCAATGCAATAACAACGATCGCTCATGTGACCACAGCATAACCGTACAACTACCTAATGAATACCAAGATAAATGAGAATCGCGGACAGCTGGTCTGGGTGGTATTTGGTTATCCAAGAATACCCTGAAATATTGTCTCGAGCCTTCAACGCAAAAACAATATTCAAACCAGCAGACATCAGTCTACATAAGCAAGCCCCATGCGTCGTCCCAGGGCTGGCAGAGAGCCATAGGCATACACCTAATTTGAGAGGACGCTTCCCTGTGAGGCCTAAGCCAGCTACGCACCTCAGGGAGCTATCCACCTGCACTATCCAATAGTGTCTGTACTATCAACACCGGAGATTACATCAACAGAGCAGCAGCGAATCTTGCGTCACCCGCCCAACCCATAAAAAACATGCCCTCCCTGATTACGACAGGCCTGAGACTGAAACTGCGCACCACTGTGTGCCAGCAGCTGGTCGTGCAGATTCGGGCTTCCTGCTGGATTATTTTGCTGTGAAGCTGCGCCACATCCCTTGTTTGCTAATTTCTTCCGGGCGTAGGTCATTCGGCCACATTAGGGGCCGACCCGGGCGCTGTGCAATAACCGAATGTCCTGGATACTTTCTCACTCGACTTTTGCCGCTCCAGAGCAGCTCAAGTGCACGAGGGTCACCAAAGGGCAGCTTCAGTGGCCACCCGCCAGCAAGCGCCGCCGGCAGCCGCGCCAGGCCGTCGTGTTTCACCGGCCCGCGAGCGGGGTGGGGTGCCATCTCCACCCCTGGCTACCGACCTCCTGGCGCCGCCCCTGCCCGCCGGGGGAGGGGGGGGGGGCGAAGGTCGTGATCGCGCGGCGGGGCGCAGCCCTGCTGTTGCTGGGCGGCAGACGGCGCAACGCCGCCCCGCCCCTCCGCGCCGCCGCCAGCACCTGCGCCGCGAACCGGCCGCCGGCCGTCGGCTCAGGAGCCGGCGGCCGGCGGCGGCGGCGCGGCGCGGCTGGCCGGGCGCCGGCGCGGCCGTTCCCGGTGCCGGCCGACCGCAGAGCCGCGCCAGTCTGTTACTGAAGCGGCGTCTGGCGCCGGGGCTCCGGACCACGCGCCGACGCGGTGCGCGCCCGGCTCCAAGTCCGGCTCCGGCCCCAGCTGCTGCCGCATCTGCGGACCGGCCGGGCCGCTCCGGCGGTGGCCGTCGCTTCCGCCGGAAGCCGTAGGCGGCGGCCGGGGCGGCCGCAGGAAAAACAGCGCAGCGAAAGCTGGCGCTGACCGCCGCCGACGCCGGGCGCGCCGCGATGCGCTGATGTCATCTGGCCACGATGATGCCGTGATCGACAGCCGTCAGCTGGCGCCGACCAGTCCGTAAACGGGCCAGCACGTGCGCAGGCCAGAGCCGGTTGGCCGCCTCTAAAAACCGGCCGGACCGGCGGCGGTGTCGTCGCACGAAGCGGACGGCGCGCCGCGGCCGACCGGCCGCAGCCACTGGCTCACCGGCTGGGTGGCGGCACGGCACGACCACCCCGCCGCACACAGCCCCGACTGCAGCCGAAGCCAGCTCCGTCGCCCACTCCTCACACAGCGGTGAGAGAAACGGCCCTGCCCGGGCCAGCGCGAAAACGAGCCTGCGTAGGCCGCCCTCCCCCCACGCACGAGATACACGCCACAGAGCTCAAGACTCCCACTCTCGCCTACCCGTAGTCACAAAAACGTTACTTAATACCTGTCCCTGCCTTCCGCCACGGATTCTTGCAATCTCAAGTACAATGAACACAGCTCCCTCCACCCAGCTCCAACCTACTGCTCCTATTCATCCGACACACCACACTCGTTCTATTCACCACACAGCTTCCTGAAAGTGCTAAAATACATGTAACAACACATAGACAAAGCAGTAGTACTAGTCTTATTCCTCGTACAAAGAACAGGAGGATGGAAATAGAGATGCGCTGATATTTCGGAAACTTGTCTTTATAAAAACGAATTGCAGAAGTAAATTGAATCAATATTTTTTACGTTACTTGAAATAATAATTTACTTCTGCTATTCGTTTCCAAAAAAGCATGTCGCCGAAATATTAATGCATCTACATCTCAATTTTCCTGGTTTTTCTACCACGAATAAGGCTCTAACTACTGTCTTATCTATGTGCATAATGTTCCTGGTAAATGTACTCAACAGCTGACATGTAACAGCTCCCACATCCTATTCCAGCAACACGTCACCGCTTCGTTGAGTCCCATTTATGTGCGCAAGAAGCACTTTCACTTTCAGCCACTGGTTTTTCAGCATTCTAAGTTAGTACGCCGCAAACAACTGACCTTAAGCACACCAGGGCTTACTCGCTAAACGACGTGATCAATAAACCATTGGTATATATCACGAACAACGGGAGGGCCACCCGTGACCCTGAGGGCTGCCATGAAACGTCGAGTTCTGTCCTAATATATATTAACGATTGTTTGATAACATCGTTTAACCAGTACCTTTTGGTAATCGAAGACCAGTTACTCGCAACACAAGAACGCATATTGCTGAGGCCAGCTTGGCCCCGGGCTCCTCCTCTTTACAGTTCAATAACACAGAGCAGGGGATCAGCGAGTGTCGGCGCCTCGGGGTACCACGTCACAATGCACGCATGGTGACCAGCCCAATCGTCACTTCGCCGAGCCCAATGGATGATGAAGACAGTGGGCGTCCCATTACCGAACGATGCCTCCCCTTGGCGGGTGCGCCGCCTCCCCCCGGCGGGTACACCACCTCCAGCCCCGGCGACCACGCTGCCTCCACCACGGCGATCACGCTGCCTCCCCTCGGCAGGTACGCTGCCTCCGCTCGGCGGGTGCACCGCCTCCGCTCGGCGGGTACGCCGCCTCCCCTCGGCAGGTACGCTGCCTCCCCCTCGGCGGGCACGCTGCGTCCCCTCGGCGGGCACGCTGCCTCCTATCGGCGGGCACACCGCCTCCCCTCGGCGGGTACGCCGCCTCCCCTCGGCGGATACGCAGCCTTCCCCTCGGCGGGCACGCTGCCTCCCCTCGGCGGGCACACCGCCTCCCCTCGGCGGGTACGCCGTCTCCCCTCGGCGGGTACGCTGCCTCCCCCTCGGCAGGCACGGCGCCGCCCCGCACCAAGTTTACGTTTTCTTTCTGGGAAAACCGCTCCGACTGAACGTCACACAGCTCAAACCAAATGACGCCACGAGTGCCCGGTTCGTCCTCCCCCGTCCCTCCCCTGCCCCGTGTCGTCTACAGCAGTACGCGACATCCATCGCAGAACTCTGGGAAGTAGGCTTAAGAAGTGTCATGAGAACAAATATCCTGCAGCCTGGGCCCCATACTGATAGCCGCGGCCGCAGCCACCGTCTCTCCAGCTCCGAGCCACAGGTGAAGGCCAGCCCAGACCGCAGATACGGGACAGGTAGCCGGGGGAGCGGGCGCCGTCGTCGTCAAGCCGGCCCGCCGTAAAGGCATCCGCAGCACCACCCCATGACACCGGTCGGCGAGAGAAGTTTGCCGTCGCCATTCAGATAAGTTAGCTTAAACGGGAAGTTTCGGGTCCATTGGGGAAGCGAGTTGGTAATACCGTTCGCACTGCGCAAACGGCAGACGTGGATGTACATAAATCGCGTGACCGCTGCAGGAAAAACGCCATGGAAGGAATGCATACCATATGATTTTAGCACAATTTTTAACATGCAATTCACGTGCAGTGTGTGTCTGTGATCTCAAAGTGGTAAGTCCAAAGCCCAGGAGCTGATATTTTCATAAGTCGTGGATGTCAATTCACTTTTCAGGGCTGTCACAATTCACTTTTCAGGGCCGTCACAGCTTCACTTTTCAGGGCCGTCACAGCTTCACTTTTGCCTTTCGTTTCGATAAAGATATGTTGCCGACATATCAGCGCATCTATATCTCCGTTCCCCTGGCTGTTATCCGAGGAATAAGGCTATTACTACCGTCTTATCAATGAACTGAGATTTACGTAGCAGGCAGGCAAGGCAGTAAGGAGCGCCAGGCATGCGCGAGATGAGGACATTTGGCTGATATGTGTAAGGGAACATATTGTGCGGTACGCCAGCCACAGAAAAGACTATCGCTACGGCGCCCGTGATGACAATTCAAGCCATCGATTTACCTGCAGGTTTCAGGGCATGCCATTAACGTAGGCCGGGGAATTCCATGACAAAGGTAGCACAAGATATCGCAAGCGAAAGATGGCATGGCCAAAGATGACCATGCGGTAGCACCGACAACCGGCACCGACAGCCGGGATGTTGCCGCCCCGCAGTGTTCCAAAATCATTTTTTGGTAGGGTGTGCGGATGTAAAAAAAAACCTTAAGGGGAGGTCGAAATTTGATGTTAAAATGGGCATGTTTCATAAACCAGCAACATCACAGTTGAAACGCATGTGCATAGGACACACCGTGACGTGTATATATGTGTGTATATATATATATATATATATATATATATATATATATATATATATATATATATATATATATATAATCCTGGATATTTTTCCTTTCCAGGTAGCAACTAAAACACCGGCACGGTGTTAAACGTCGCATCAGATTCTTCCGCTGAAAGAGACTGGCGGAATCCTGCTGACTATCTTTGACAAGAGTATATGATAAGTGATGCCCTGAAACCGTTGTCCCGTGTTTCTGCTGGATGATTACAGCCCTCTTTATATTCGTCCATGCCACTGATAACTTGAGTTCAGGCGAAAAATGCGCAAGTAGCTGCCTAATGCCACCATTCATTCATCAGGCACCAAGTGTCTGACAAAACAGCGCGTTTCAATTGGAGAACACTCAATAATTGGCACGCTGCCAATGTGATGCCCTTTCTTCGAAGACAGAAGTCTTACTTAAATTCGACAGATTCTAAATGATCGGTATTCTCTCAATACACCTCTTCTTAAAACGAAGATTTAGATGCATGTTCATGCAGTGTCCTAGAATTGCCGACTTGGGGTGTAAAGCAGCACCCTATGAGAATGAATTTTTCACTCCTCTTCCCCATATTTTATGTGAATTTGTACTCCTGCCTGACATTGTCTAATCGCGCATGCCGAACCCATATTTCCCTTTCTGAGATTTTCAGATGTCATCCAAAACCGAGCTCACTTGAAACCATAAAGCATAAACGAGGCTCCACAGAACCTGGACACCTATGGCTATGTCCTGCCTCACCTACATCTGAATCTTGTCTATGCATGCACAGAGCAAGGGCGCCAGGTACCTTCAAGCCCAAGACCCCCCAGCGATTCCAGCCGCTTGCACGCACCAAGTTTGGTTTGTTTACAAAATGCATCACAATCGGCAGCAGTGTGCCGAATGCAAGGTTTTCACGCACCCCCAGTTTTTTGCCTCACCACCACATCACGAAAGCAGAGCCTGGCGCAAACATGAGCAAGGCCTGGTAGAGAGTTTTGCTCCACGCATTTCTTTTACCCGAAGAAACCTGACCATTAAATTGCATCACTCCCAAAATGCAGGAGTCGTTTAATTCAAGAAATGTCTTCTAAATAACATTTGCAAGATGAATATTACCACTTGAGCACTTATTTTAACAAATTTTGAGACAAATCAGCTGATAACACAAATTTTCCCTAAAAAGTATCAGTCTTTATATTTATTTAACTACTTTTCTTTTTCTTGGTATCATAGGAGTGTAATACCACTTAAGTCTTCTTTCCTTTTCAATTGCCTTTACAGGCACTATCTGTTCCTTAAAATGTTGGCCGATTTCTCTGCAAGATGCTCCAACTGCAAACCTGCACGTAATTTACACATAAATTGGATTAGTTCGCCAGCCGCCCAAACATATCTGATATGCACCCAAGAGTGAACAATTCACAGGGAATGAAGAAGACAATTTGAAGCACGGAACTTATTTTTACCGCCACTTTTGCCCTGCTAAGCCCCCGGTCAGCCATTTTTTGGCTCATGGCGGTGCTCGATAATGATAAACACAAGCCTTTCAAGTGTCTAACTTACCAGGCTACCTGACAGCGCTATCCTCATGCTGCCATATAGAGTCTTGGGACAGACCTGACGCACTAATACAGAAGTGTTTGATGCCGAAATTCTGCCCTCCGAAAATGTTCATCACACACATATCTTACTTGTTTCGCATTTCAATCTCCTAGGTTGTTGGACGTGATTGATATTTATATTTGGGGGTGAGTGGGGTGACTGTCTATCAGCAAACTGTGCAAAATGTGGTACTGACTTTTCGTTTTTGGGGACCAGGAAGAAGTGTGCCCTGAAAAAGCCAGTAAGTCCCCTGTGGACCAAGTAATTGCTTACCTTACCTGCTTTCAACACACGATTTGTGGCCAGAGTTAGCCATTTTCTGTTTTAATCCATCGATATTTGTCAAAAGACAAATTATGTCACAAGGCATGCAATGGGCTTATTTTGTTCCATATTCTTGATGATTTGTCTCAAATTTCTTGAATTGGTTGGTCCTTCATGGCTGCTTGAACCGGATGTTTTCCATAGTTGTCATGGTTTGCATACTGGCAAATGACTGTACTGCATATATACACTATATTTTTAACACTGGGATACTCTAAGCTGCATAGCAATTATAATATGAGGTAAATATCAGCATTACGCAAATAGTCAGACCAGGCTATTTAGCCTGGCCAGCCTGGACGCCAACATACCAAAATATGTCGCTAAATATGAATAAACAGGCCTAAATAGATGCCTTTGCTGCAGCTCGGTAAAGGCAAGCAGCAATACTGACATGGTCATCTAAACGTTGTGGTACTTTTGGAGGAGAGTCATTGTTTTGGGGAACGTACTCATTATTACCCTTAACAGAGGTTGACCATGACAATCAAAATAATTTGTTCAAAGTGATTTAATGTGCCTTCATTTGTGTGGTCAACTTTGTCTGATGTCAACAGGCATACACAAATAAACTGAATAGGAAGGCAAGTTGAAACCAGCCAGAAAAAAATGAGCTTTATCATGTTTGTATCATAAGTGCTGCTGTCAACAGATACAACAAGTAAGGCCTCTTTAGGTTACGCATAGCTGGGCTACTTTGATGGAAATAAGCATTGGTAGTTTGTAAGAAACAGTGACAAAATGTTTGCTTTTCCTGACCCAATCTTAACAGAAGCCAGAGGTATGTGTAATGTGTCTCACTTGGTGATGGGCTGATGTGCAGGAGTCCAAGGTTGTTTTTTAGCCCTTTAAGCTTGTTAAACGTTCTGATTTTATTTTTTTGTTGTTGAATTCATTTGCTTTGTTTTGTGTTAAAAATGCTGTGGAATTGAAGTGCGAAGTCCAGCACCAAATTATTGGTGTTAATAAACTTTTTATACTCATTACACTGTCATGAAGTTGCTATGCTTTAATGTATTATGTTTCACTTTAATGGCCTAACATGTTAAAAACAAAACATTTTTGTCAGGTATATGACATTATGTCCACGCCAACTTGAAATAGATGTCTTTGTTTGCTGAAGCGTCAGTCACTACGTCATAAGTTCCATCTTATGTAAATTGATTTTTTTTTCACTCGCGGACGGTCTTTTTGCGATGACATTTTTCACTCCCACCCTAGTTCAAAAGCGATTCTAGCTCAACATCACTGGCTGGTTATGTATGCAGGTCCCAGCCATGAATATCTTAAGATTTCAGTTTTGTTCTGTAAACAGCAATTATCAACAGCTTTTTCCACCACGTGGAGGTCACCATGACGGATTTCGTCTGATTTCCATAGAAAGAGCCCCAATGTCGGCGAAAAGCCACGCCAGCACGGAAAAGAGACATTGACCCGACCAGATCAGATCTATCTATCCCAATCTGACCATCATATCGGACAACACGTCAGGCACCTTTTCTCCGAATACAACGGCACCGCTCCTAAGGCCTGCACAAGACACAGACGAACAAGCCGAAAGGTCTCAATGACCTATGCAGTGCCGCATAACGGTTACGTACAAGTGCAATGTGGATGCTGCTGCTAGCCACAGTTCGTAAGTCAGTTAGTCTACCGCCGCCAGCAGCCGGCCCACAAACCAAGAGATCCAAGTAACAACATCTCAGATTGGACGGACGAGCTCAGCAAACACACGCGCACAAGTGGATGAAAATTAACAAAAAACACACACGTTCGGCAAATAACACACATTTTTTATGCACTTTTCACGCTTTTTACTAGAGGCTGAATGACGTCACCACCGCGGCCGTCACTATTCGCGGCTATCTTAAGGCAACGCACGCCGAACAGATGATCGGCACTGTTGCTGGCACAGCCAGCCACGGGCGCTGCAAACTGTTCACGGCTGCAACCAACAAAAGTGACGGCCCTGACGCCCTTTTCTTTGACTTGGTGACTTGACTTTGACAAAGGTGACTTGACCTGACACTCAAGTCTTTCAGTGTTATGCCGTGGGCTCAAGTGCCATGGCGGAAAGCATTGCTTTTGCGCATCAAGGTGTGACACAGGCAACATGTAAATTCCGCCGAACTTTCAAGGGAACCTTTGTTCGCCCCATTTTGGCAGCCGTGCGTGACGGACAATGAGAAATGAAGAGGTGCACGTCAGAGCAACAGGATCAAACGTATCTGAAGACGAGGGGAAGAAGGGGGTGGTACATTACCGTCGGATGATCAAGCTGGTGATGCAGAGACTGGGAGTAAAGATGAGGAACGTGCACTGGTAGTTCCGGAACAGGCTTGGCAGGATGAAGAACACCAGTGGAATTCAGGAGACATGGGAGGCCTGCAGAGACATGCTTGGTGACCTGCATGGCCTGCCGTTAATTTCAGGGAAGATTGTTTCATACATATTTCACGCCGGACTATAACAAAGAATGGGGCAGGCACATTACGGCATAAAATAGTGTGAACAGGTAAATGTGGGCAATGATATGAAGGTATTTCGGCACTCACGTAACTGGAACCATTCTAAAATTATCAACCACAATACAGAATATGTAATGCTCCAAAAAATGACAATGCTTCAATACGCATGGCCTTAATGAAACCTCAACAGTCTACATGGCCACAAATCATTCATTTCACCTGATATCAAAAGACCAATTGGAGTTGGAATACCTACACCAATGCCAACTTTAATCATCCTCAAGGTTTGCCTCCTAAATTTCAGCACACTTCAAAAGTTTTGTTCCATTTAAATGCAGTTAATCCTTAACCTGAATTTATAGGTTGTTATGCACAAAATTGTGTGCTTCACTTCGAAGTGCAGAAGGTATTGCAGTTTTGGTGCATGTTGTGACACATATCCAGTTAATGATCCAACCAGAAATGCATCTACATATCCTTGGAGACGGTAGATTAGCCAAATCCAAAAATTACAATATGACATCACGCACCAAACCATGCGGATCAGAGGGCGTAGCTAGAGCTCCACCCGCCTATGGTGCACTGCACTGAATAACAAACTCTTGACAAACAAAAAGGATCATAACCATCTTCAAATGCAAACAGCTAAAAGTGCATTTGGGTTTGGGATCACATCCTGTACAATGCACTGTGATATACGCGTGCTCTCACCGGTATCAGTCGACAGACGTCCCGATGACCGCTGACCGCGGCGGTAGGTCGGCCGCCGCCTCCGGCGGTCGGCCGCAGAGGCGCGCGCGCTAGTAACGCAATACACCATACTATTCCCTCTCCAGCTTGCTAGTCCATCGGTATCCACACCCCCTTCCCCCTCCCACACCGTACAGACTACACGGTCCATTCACCATATCGCTCAGGAGGACGGCCTCGCCTCTCACTGCGGCGGCGGTGGGGGATTACTCGTGCTTCAGTGGAGCGATCAACCATCACCTCAGCTTCTTCAACATGTCTCTCGGTATTTTCAGACTCGTCATTTTCAGACTCCGAGCCATTTTCTGAGTCCCACATCCCTTCATTCCACGTCAACGCTGGCCATCTGTCCGCGGCATTTGCCACCTTCTCAGCTGCCTCTGTCCCCTGGTCCGTCACCATGGGTCGTCAGATGCGGCCGCCTTCTTCCCGCAGGTTTCAACTGATCGAAATGACGTATGAAACGATGCGTAAAGTTGTCCTCTCTTTGGATGCGGTATGTGTTCTCCTGCCGGCAGCTGATCATTACAAAGGGGCCATCGCCACGGGGTTGAACTTTTGAAACAACGGGGTTGAACGGGCTGGTGTTCCTGGCTTTGGTGGAATCTTCATACACACCCGATCCCCCAGACGATAAGGGACCATATTTGCCGTTTTTCTACTAGTATCCTCTCTTTCCTGTTTTGTCTTCTGCTCACATCTGGCTACCTCATCGTGAGCTCTCACCAACGTTTTCACCAGGTTTCTGGCCCAAGACTGCTCTGTGCCGAAACGGCTTAAAAAAACTTTCCTCCGTTCGAGCTATCTCAGGAGTGCGTGGCTGGCGACCAAACTGGATAAAAAATAGACCTACCAGTGGCGTTGTGCGGAGCCGACATATACTGAAATCTAACAACACCCAGACACTTGTCCCACTCGCATCCCGACTCCTGCACATTGCGACTAATCAGGGCACCGACTGTCTAGTTCGCCCTTTCCTTTCCATACATTTCCGTCGCCCTTTCTCAGCGCGACGGAAATGTATGGCAAAATTGAACTCTTCAATCTATTCAACCCATTCGACTGTGGATGGAATGCACTAACCCTGTTTTGTCTATGCCCATCTATTGTGCCAACACCGCCAGATGCTGGTTGTTAAATTCCAGACCACGATCTGTCAGTATGGATTCCGGGAGACCGTGACGGTACACGACACTCTCGATCAGCGAGCTGGAGACGGTTTCTGCCGATTTGTCTGGAATGGCGGACAACTCCACACTTTTAGTCAGAAGGTCCAGTGCGACTAGAACGTACCGATTACCCCGTCCTTGTGGTTTGCCGTCCGAACGGCCCCCATCAGGTCAACAGCGACGTGCTGCCAAGGAGCTGTGGGCATTTCCAACGGCGCCGTGAAACGACGCTGCGTGATGTTTGAACGTGCGCACAACCAAACAGCTCCAACAGCAGTTCCTGACATCCTGCTCTTCTTGTCCACCAGATATATCCGGACTGTTTCAGCAGGCTGACAGGACCTTCCAGCACCAAAATGTCCGAACTCGTCACGTTTGGGGCTCAAACACGTGAAATGAGACCTTCGGGACGGGGTGTACTTCGTACCTGCTTTGACGACGACTAACAGATCGCTGCCCTTATCAATGACCGGTTCAAAACCACGCTTGTCGCCACCGACGGCTGTGTTGGACCCTGCACTCTGTCGAGACGTGGCTTCCATTGCGCAGTGCGCTGGAAGCCTCGTCCTGCCCCTAGGCATCTCGCATTCCCTCCTCGACCAGGTGGATCAGATCGCGTGGCTAAGACTGGGGCGCTGGCTGCCGGTGCCGAGATCATCACGCGAGACAGAGCATCAGCGTGTTGGTTTTTCTCGGCGCCGCGACGGAAAAGGTATGGAAAAATTAAACTCCTCACTCTAACTCAAACCCAGCGTGCGTACCGCCCTCTCGGGATCTTTTGGTGTTGCGTAGCCATTGAAGGCCCACAGACAGTCAGGGAACCCATTGAAGCGCGCTCCGAAGCAGGTACGGTCTTGATTTCTTTCTCAAGCAAAAAACAGAAGCAAACACCCCCTTATCTCGAATGTGCCAATTCTTTCCACTGTCTGAAGAGGTTTTCGAGGCAAAACTTGCCGGCCTGTCGACCGCTGATTGGTCCCTCTGTGACAGATCACAGCCCAAATCAAAATCCGATGCATCCGTGCTGACCTCAAATTCGTGCTGCATGTCTGGTAAATGCAAGAGCGCGAACGTGCCGAGGGCCTGTTTCAGTTCTTGAAAAGCACTTTCTTTCCGTTCATCCCACTGGAACGTGGTCTTTCCAGAGATTTCATGCAGCGGAGCCGCCACAACCTGGAGACGTGGCACGAATCACTGCAGTAATTGCAAAGCCCAAGAAACTGTTTCAACTGTTTGGTTGTATGTGGTCGCGGCCAATTCTGGATAACCTGAACCTTTTCTGCATCTGGCTCGAGACCTGGGGATGACAGAACGTACCCAAGGAACCATATCCACCGCCTGCAGGGCACCACTTTCTTGCTCTGTACAGTCAAACCAGCACACCTCAGTCTCTCCAACACAGCTTGCAGCAGGTGCAGGTGCTCCTCTTCAGTTTTCCACCGACAATGATATCACAGAGATATGCAGTAACTCCGTTTCCCATCAGGCCCGCAACACCTCTGCTATCAGGCGAGGAAAACATCCAGGCGCCCCCTTAGCCCCAAATGGCATCACTCGGAATTTCATTTCCCGTCCTCTGTTGTACATGGCGTTTTTCTCTGGTCTTCCGGGACCACTGGGAGCTGCCAGTTAGCCGAGTTCAGGTCCAGCGTGGTAAACAGCCTGGACCCGGCCAAGCTATCCAGGCATTCCTTGACAGATGGTAGGTAGCAGACCTCGTCCATCGTCTTGCCCTTCTAACACACGAAAGTCCACCGCGAAACGAAAAGAACCGACTTCTTAACCATCAAAATAGGTGACGACAAGGAGAATCGGAACGCTGGATCAGCCCAAGGGCCTCAGCGTCAGCGATCTGCCTCCGCACCTCCGGTCTCAATGATAGGGGTTCTTCTTTGC